CACCTGCTCTTGTTGCTACCTCCAGCAGTAGTCTAGTGTAAGGGTTGCATTTGCTCTTGTTGTTACCTCCAGTAGAAGTCTTGTGGCAGGGCTGCTTCTGCTATTGTTACTACCTCCAGCAGTAGTCTAGTGGTAGCTCTGCATCTGCTTTTGTTACTACCTCCAGCAGTAGTCTAGAGGCAGGGCTGCATCTGCTCTTGTTACTACCTCCAGCAGTAGTCTAGTGGCAGGGCTACATCTGCTCTTGTTACTACCTCCAGCAGTAGTCTAGTGGCAGGGCTGCATCTGCTCCTGTTACTTCCTCCAGCAGTAGTCTAGTGGCAGGGCTGCATCTGCTCTTGTTACTACCTCCAGCAGTAGTCTAGTGTTAGGACTGCATCTGCTCTTGTTGCCACCTCCACCAGTAGTCTAATGACAGGGCTGCATCTGCTCTTGTTACCACCTCCAGTAGGAGTCTTGTGGCAAGGCTGTATCTGCTCTTTTTGCTACCTCCAGCAGTAATCTCGTGGCTGGGCTGCATCTGCTCTTGTTGCTACCTTCAGTAGGAGTCTCGTGGCAGGGCTGCATCTACACTTGTTGCTACTTCCAGCAGTAGTCTAGTGGCAGAGTTGCATCTGCTCTAGTTGCTACCTCCAGTAGGAATCTTGTGGCAGGCCTGCATCTGCTCTTGTTACTACCTCCAGCAGTAGTCTAGTGCCAGGGCTTCATCTGCTTTTGTTACTACCTCCAGCAGTAGTCTATTGGCAGGGCTGCATCTGCTCTTGTTGCTACCTCCAGCAGTAGTCTAGTGGCAAGGCTGCATCAGCTCTTGTTGCTACCTCCAGCAGTACTCTAATGGCAGTGCTACATCTGCTCTTGTTGCCACTCCAGAAGTAGTCTAGTGGCAGGAGTACATCCGCTCTAGTTACCACCTCTAGTAAGAGTCTAGTGGCAGGGCTTCATTTGCTCTTGTTGCTACCTGCAGGAGTAGTCTATTGGCAGGGCTGCATCTGCTCTTGTCGCTTCCTGCAGAAGGAATCTTGTGGCAGGGCTGTGTCTGTTCTTGTTACTATCTCCAGCAGTAGTCTAGTGGCAGGGCTGCATCTGCTCTTGTTACTACCTCCAGCAGTAGTCTAGTTGCAGGGCTGCATCTGCTATTGTTACTACCTCCAGCAGTAACCTAGTGGCAGGGCTGCATCTGCTCTTGTTCCCACTCCAGAAGTAGTCTAGTGGCAGGGCTGCATCTGCTCCTGTTACCACCTCCAGTAGGATTCTAGTGGCAGGGCTGCATCTGCTCTTGTTGCTACCTCCAGCAATAGTCTCGTGGCAGGGCTGCATCTGCTCTTTTTGCTATCTCCAGCAGTAGTCTAGTGCCAGGGCTGCATCTGCTCTTGTTGCCTGACATGCAGTAGTATAATGGCATGGCTACATCTGCTCTAGTTACCACCTATAGTTGGAGTCTAGTGGCATGGTTGCATCTGCTCTTGTCGCTGCCATCAGCAGTAGTCTAGTGGTAGGGCTGCACCTGCTCTTGTTACCACCTCCAGTAGGAGTCTTGTGGCAAGACTGTATCTGCTCTTGTTGCTACCTTCACCAGTAGTCTCGCAGCAGGGCTGCATCTGCTCTTGTTGCTACCTCCAGTAGGAGTCAAGTGGAAGGGCTGCATCTGCTCTTGTCGCTACTTCCAGCAGTAGTTTCGTGGCAGGGCTGCATTTGCTCTTGTTGCTACCTCCAGTAGGAGTCTAGAGGCACGACTACATCTGATCTTGTTGCCACCTCCATTAGTAGTCTTGTGGCAGGGTTACATTTGCTCTTGTTGCTACGTCCAGTAGGAGTCTAGTGGCAGGGCTACATATGCTATTGTTGCTACCTCCAGCAGTAGTCTAGTGGCAGCGTTGCATCTGCTCTTTTTTCTACCTCCAGTAGGAGTCTTATGGCAAGGCTGCATCTGCTCTTGCTTCTTCCTCCATCAGTAGTCTAGTGGCAGGGCTGCATCTGCTCTTGTTGCTACCTTCAGTAGGAATCTTGTGGCATGGCTTCATCTGCTCTTTTTACTATCTCCAGCAATAGTCTAGTGGCAGGACTGCATCTGATCTTGTTTCTACCTCCAGCAGAAGTCTAGTGGCAGGGCTGCATCTGCTCTTGTTGCTACCTCCAGCAGTAGTTCAGTGGCACTGGTGCATCTGTTCTTGTTGCTACCTCTAGCAGTAGTCTAATGGCATTGCTGCATCTGTTCTTGCTGCCACTCCAGCAGTATTCTAGTGGCAGGGCTACATCTGCTCTATTTACCACCTCCAGTAGGAGTCTAGTGGCAGGGCTACATCTGCTCTTCTTGCTACGTCCAGCAGTAGTCTAGTGGTAGGAGATAAAGCTTTCGAAAATCCGAAATTAAGGAATTAATAGACAGTTTTATGTATTCCATCACACAATGGAGATAAAGCTAATACGTTAGCCAAAAAGAGTATCCTGAAGGGTATATCTGTGTCCAGCATTAGGAGTATTAGAAGAGAAAGAAGTGAGGGAAATGTATATCATAGAAATGCAGTTAGAATCCAAGGCAGATCAATAACCTACTATGATAACGTGGACGTTAATAAGTCCTTTTAGGGCTCAACTGACTAATGTTGTAGTAGTCAGGATACTAAATGCAACGTTTGTGGTTAAGTTTCTGGTTACTTCATTAAGCACTACGTGCTTCACTGTCCACTTATTGAGGAGTTATAGAGACAAACGAACATAATTAGCTATGTGCAATGTCAAGGTATTTTATTAAAGAATGTAAGATACCAGATACATTATTTATATCCGTTGCTTGCAACGGATATAAATAATGTATCTGTATAAATAATACATCTGTATCTGTACAAATAATACATCTGTATTTATATCCGTTGCTTGCAACGGATATAAATACAGATGTATTCCTGTTAACTCTTTCGGGGTCTAACTCACAAATCTTTCGTGTATCCACGTACTCTTGCACTACCGTCCAGATAATGCACATGTGAACCACCATAAGACTGTCGCTTGTACAGCAAAATCTAAAATCTGAACTTCTCTCTGTCTTACTCAATTCTTTCATTAACAATTTTACAATACACTTTACCTGTATGGTCTGAAGGTTCATTTCCCTATAATTCTTACACTCTTTTATATCCCAATTTTCCTTTATACAAAGGAGCTTCTCACACTCTCTGCCAGTCCCTATATCCCTTTCCCCGTTCATGCATACTGAACAAATGCACCAACCACTCCAAAGCTGTATCTCCACCTGTTTTTAACAGTTCTGTCTATATTATTATCTCTATATCTGCTTTCCCCTCCCCCCTCTCATTCTATTCAGTGAATCACACACCTCCTCACACTGATATCTGTCTCTTCCTCACTCCTAAAAGGTGTTATACCTCCCTGCCCAATACAAGAAATCACTACCTCCCTTTTTACATCAACATTCAACAACTCAAAGTAATGCCTCCATCATCTCAGTACCTCCACCTTCCAGTCTATTGTCTTCCCTCATTCATTTTTAACTCTTAAATCCATTTACCTTCTCTATCCTTTCTCAATTTACTGAATTCACTCCAACACATTTTTTAGATATCAACAGAAAAATTTGTTGATAAAACCTCACCCAGTCTCTCATCAGCTCTCCTTTTGCACGTCCTAACCTCTCCTCTAACCTCTCTTTTAAATCTTTATATATATATAATATATATATATATATATATATATATATATATATATATATATATATATATATATATATATATATATATATATATATATATATATGTCGTGCCGAATAGGCAGAACTTGCTATCTTTGCTTAAACAGCAACGCTCATCTTGCCATATAGGACAAGTGAAAATTTATTTATGCAATAATTTCGCCAAAATCATTCTGAACCTAACGAAAAAAATATATTTCGCTGTGTTTGTTTAGTATTAAATTATTGTAAACAAATCTAAAATATATTTAGTTGGGTTAGGCTAAAATAAATTGCGCTTGTTATAATAAAGTTAGGTAAGTTTTCTAAGTTCCTTTTGGTGCAAAATTATAAATTTTTACATCAACATTAATGAAAAAAATATATCTTTAAACGTATAAGAGAAAATTTTAGAAAAGACTTAATTTTAAATGAGTTCTTGCTAATTGACCAGTTTTACATATTCGGCACGACATATATATATATATATATATATATATATATATATATATATATATATATATATATATATATATATATATATATATATATATATATATATATATATATATATAATATGAAGGAAGACACTTCATTAATTAGTCCAAATTCTTGGAAAATGTGAAACAAAGAGGTAGCATAAATATAATAACGTAACATTATTATTAATAACGCGGCAGAACGAGAAAATATCTTTTGTAGCATTGTAATAAATATATAAATAAAAAACAATAATAAATGGCATTGTGTAAAGCTTATTAAAGCTCTCAGTGAGTCACAACCTCTCTCGTATTAAAAGTAATTACGAGACGCTATCTACTTCAGAATTAAGAGGGGTAAAAAAATAAGCATATCATTTGCGTTAAGATGAAAGAGGATGTAATACACTAATCAAGGGATCCAAGATGTTAATTAATGTCTTAATGTACTAATAAAAAAAATAGGATGTAATAGAGCGGAGTGTTGGCAGCTCCTCCTCCGGCAGATGGCGGGAAACACCACCATGGAGGGGGGACAGACCCACTTATTTATCATTTTTAATGCATATCTAGCCTCCTTCTTATAGTTATTTAGGTGATGAATAATGTATAAAAAAATAGAGAGTGGGGAGGTACGTGTTATTTTTCAGTGTAATGGAATGTGAGTGAGAATAAAATAGGGAGTGTATCGTACCTCTGGCAGGCGGTGGGAGGTCCCGCGTGCTGATTGGCTACTTGTTAGTGGGTGGAGCCTAAATGCGCGCGCAAATTTGCCTCTGTTCTATAAATCCCTTGCTCATAACTGCCGTCATTATTATTTCCTAATTACACTCGTCCTGGCAGTCTGCAAGTTGGTGGGTGGTTGAGAATACAGACGCTGAGAGCCTCTGCTGTATTAGTACATGCGCTAGACCTCAGTGATCAGGACAGAAAGAGGGATTTAATGGGATCTGCAAGATGCTAGCAAGAGAAAAAAACATATATGCTGAAATTTTAATTCGATAATGTCGACGTTGCTTGAAGGCAAACAAGAGATGGTAAGAGCACTGATTCTAGTGCAAGAAAGTTTCTTGTCCGGTTGAAAGCCAGTGTGAAGGTATTCATCCTAAATGCTGGAAGTTTTACAAGACGGAGACTCAGAGGCGCCATGAAGGGTGAGTTTGTCTATATATTCATCTCAGTATACGTAATACCACAAGAATAACAATATACGTAATACCAGAAGGATAACAATATATGTACCTAGTACTAGAAGAAACACAATATACTTAGTACTAGAAGTATAACAATATACTTAGTACCAGAAGTATAACAATATACTTAGTACCAGAAGTATAACAATATACTTAGTACCAGAAGTATAACAATGTACTTAGTACCAGAAGTATAACAATGTACTTAGTACCAGAAGTATAACAATATACTTAGTACCAGAAGTATAACAATATACTTAGTACCAGAAGTATAACAATATACTTAGTACCAGAAGTATAACAATATACTTAGTACCAGAAGTATAACAATATACTTAGTAACAGAAGTATAACAATATACTTAGTACCAGAAGTATAACAATATATTTAGTATCAGAAGTATAACAATATACTTAGTACCAGAAGTATAACAATATACTTATGACCAGAAGTATAACAATATACTTAGTACCAGAAGTATAACAATATACTTAGTACCAGAAGTATAACAATATACTTAGTACCAGAAGTATAACAATATACTTAGTACCAGAAGTATAACAATATACTTAGTACCAGAAGTATAACAATATACTTAGTACCAGAAGAATAATATACTTAGTACCAAGAGAGAATCACTCTGTTAAAAGCGCTTTGCCACAGAACTTCTCCAAGATTTTGTGGGAAAAATATGAAAAAAAAAATGCCTAGGCAACCATATTAATATCACCCAAAGAAGATTTTAAACATGGAGTTGTCTTGTCTGGCAGAGGCCTCAGCGGATGCTGCCTTTATACAATTGTTATTGATTGGTGCCATAACCATGTTGATGTAGGTACTGTCTCTGATTTCGTCTCCTTCATCTAACATGACTTCGAGTGTCACCTCTTGAAGACTTCGAGTGTCACCTCTTGAAGACTTCGTGTGTTATTTATTAAAGACTTCGAGCGTCACTTCTTGAAAACCATATTTTCCCTTGACCTGATCGCTTCTCTGGTTTTCCCTCGGCGTTGTGACTGTTAGCAGTAAACACTAATTGCACCGCCAGTACCGCTAGACAGCTGAAATATAAGATACTGTGTAACTACCACAAGTGTAGGCGAAAGCCTCAGTGGCATCTGATATTGCTTCTCGCACTACTCTCACGTTGACCAGTGCCAGCGCCACCGACAGAGACTCGTTTACTGCCATTATCGTCGACCTACACCAGGGATACAACCAATAAACCTACAGCCAGTACCAGCAATGCCAGTTATACCTACAGTCAGTACAAACTACTACAGCACTTAATTCATATCGCTACAACTGTCTTCGCCAAGACAACAACCACCACTGTCACAACAGAAAGTACCTCCAGCTTTTCCCTTACCACAACTACAACCACCACCACCACCACCACCACCACCACCACCACCACCATATTCGGCCTAAGCAGCACCAGCATGGCTGGAGGGTACCTTGGGGGGGCGGGGGGCCTAGGGGCAGGCTTACCCCCCTTACCCACCGAGATACTCATGGATGAGTATATGTTTGGTCGACGAAGACAGGTGAGTCAGCCTTAATGACCCATTTGACAGGTGTATAAGCCTGATTTACATATATTGTCATATATTTATACATATTTGCATATATTTAGATGTTTAATATGACCGCAAATAAATTTAAAGTCTTTGTCCGGTATCACTGTACCTACTGGACCAGCATCATGGTCCACGCTGGACCAGCATCATGGTCCGCGCTGGACCAGCATCATGGTCCACGCTGGACCAGCATCATGGTCCACGCTGGACCAGCATCATGGTCCACGCTGGACCAGCATCATGGTCCACGCTGGACCAGCATCATGGCTCCTGATGGACCAGTATTATGGTCCTTGCTTGACCGGTATCATGGTCTGTGCTAGACCGGTATCATGAACCATACTGGATCGGTATCATGGTTCATTCTGGACTTGTTTCATGGTCCGCGCTGGACCAGTTTCATGGTTCATGCTGGACCAGCATTATGATTCATTCTGGACCAGTGTTATGGTCCGCGCTGGACCAGCATCATGGTTCATGCTGGACCAGTATCATGGTCCGTGCTGGATCAGTATCATGGGTCATGCTGAACCAGTATCATGGTCCTTGCTGGACCAGTATCAATGTTCATGCTGGACCAACATCATGGTCCGTGCTGGACCATGATTAAATTGTGTAAGGTCATGTTACATAAGGTTAGGTTAGGTTAACAGCTGGTTAGGTTAGGTTAGGTTAACAGCTGGTTAGGTTAGGTTAGGTTAGGTTAGGTTAACAGCTGGTTAGGTTAGGTTAGGTTAGGTTAGGTTAACAGCTGGTTAGGTTAGGTTAGGTTAGGTTAGGTTAACAGCTGGTTAGGTTAGGCTGTTAGCTGATGGGTAGGTTAGATTAGATTAACAATGGAGTTAGGTTAGGTTAGATAATCAGTGGGACAGGTTAGGTTAAGTTAGGTAAACTATGGGTTACCGATTAATACTGTCAGATTACCGCAATACAGTGTCAGGAGAGCAGTTACTTCTTACTACTGTCAGTATATCTCAGTATAACACTCGGTTCCCGTGCTCATAACTGTTCAATTTGAAGCAGATAACGAATGGCACTCATGTGGCACTCATGTGGCACTCATGTGGCACTCATGTGGCACTCATGTTGCACTCGTGTTGCACTCAAGTTCCGTCCAACTTAATACTGAAGGATTTTCGGGAGTAACTGCACCGGATGGTGGTGTATATCTCTCAGTGTATATACTTCAGGAGGTGGTATACATGTCTCAGTGTATATACTTCAGGAGGTGGTATACATGTCTCAGTGTATATACATCGAGCATTCACTTGCATCCCTAGTTGAAGAATTAAAATATCCTCGATTTTATTGTCTTGGTCTCTATGGGAAACAACCTTAAAGACTGCCAAGATATATATATATGTATATATATATATATATATATATATATATATATATATATATATATATATATATATATATATATATATATATATATATATATATATATATATATATATTATATATATTATTGTGTACGTGTGTAGGTATATTTCTTGTTTTATTAAAAATAATATTCAGAACAATAATAAAATTAAGATATCTTTTTCTACTACTGCTAATAATAATAATAATAATAATAATAATAATAATAATAATAATAATTACTTTTTTTGCATCGCCAATATCATCACCACCACTATCTTCACCACCACCATCAATCATCACCATCACCACCACTATCACCATCAATCATCACCATCACCACCACCATCAATCATCACCATCAGCACCACTATCTTCACCACCACCATTAATCATCACCATCACCACCACTATCACCATCAATCATCACCATCACCACCACCATCAATCATCACCATCACCACCACTATCTTCACCACCACCATCAATCATCACCATCACCACCACTATCACCATCAATCATCACCATCACCACCACTATCACCATCAATCATCACCATCACCACCACCATCAATCATCACCATCACCACCACTATCTTCACCACCACCATCAATCATCACCATCACCACCACTATCACCATCAATCATCACCACCTTACATTTACTAGTGCACCAAAGAGTGTTCTTGTTTCTGGTGGTCAGCGTCGCAACAGAACCACCTTCACAGCACAGCAGCTGAGTGAGCTGGAGGCACTCTTCCAGAGGACCCACTACCCTGACGTCTTCCTCAGGGAGGAGGTCGCCTGCAGGATCAACCTCTCCGAGGCCCGTGTCCAG